GTGGGGGGGGGGAGGGGGAGTAGTATTGTAAGGTGAAAGCATGAAAAGAAATTTTGTGGTTTTCTGTGTCTTAGTGTTAACATGCAAATAAGCTTTTATTTATGTTTTGTTGTTGTTTAAGCTATAAAGGCCACAACCTGAGGAATGGTTAGGAGAAAAAACCAAAAATGAGCTCTGGCCTTATTGACTAGAGGTTTTTGTAGCAGCGGTAACTAAAAGGAAGCTAAAAAATGCTGGTATGATGCTGAAGTAGAGTTTGCTATGTTAATCTAGCATTTGCACATGAATGGAACTGAAGTGACTTGAGCTCTGCATGTCTACAGATAAATGTCTACCCTTGACCATTTTTACTTCATGTTGTAATGAGTGCATTAGCCACTCAAGCATGTAACTTTCTTACCCAGCCCAACAAAATCTTCAATGTTGAAAAGGTAATAACCAAGGCCAACTGTTTTAAGTTGAAGTGAGCAATAGCTCTCTAACTTTGGTCTCCTAGGTAAATAGTGTAACAGGCTTAATTCTGTTCTATGTAGTCTTCTCCAGATACCAAATCTATTCTTGCAATGAAGTAGAATTGCATTGTGTTCCTGCAATGAAGTAGAATGATAATAGTCTGTGAATTAGACATCTGTAATTGGTCTTCCCAGTGTAGGTTATAAACTGTCCTGCCTCTCTAATTCCTTTTCTTTCCATTGTCTTTTTATAAGGCTTGATATGATTTTTCTGATAACATCAAATCATAGAAGTAGGGTCGGAAGGGACCTTGTAGATCTTCAAGTCCGACCCCCTGCCTGGGCAGGAGAGAAACTGGGCTCAAGTGACCCCAGCCATGTAGGCATTGAGCTGCTTCTTAAAGACCCCCAGAGTAGGAGCCAGCACCACTTCCCTTGGAAGTTAGTTCCAGATCCTAGCCGCCCTAACTGTGAAGTAGTTCCTACAGATGTCTAATCTGAACCTACTCTCCAACAACTTGTGTCACCGTTATTCCTTGTTATCCCTGGGGAAACAAGCTAGGGGAAACAGGGTCTCCCTCAAACCCTTCTGGTCCCCCCTAGTGAGTTTAATAGATGGTCACAAGGTCCCCCCTCAGCCTTCTCTTGTGAAGGCTGAACAGGTATAGGTCCCATAGCCTCTCATTGTAGGGTCTGCCCTGCTGTCCCCAGATCATGCGGGTGGCCCTCCTCTGGACCCTCTCAATGTTGTCCATATCTCTCTTGAAGTGGGGTGCCCAGAACTGGACACAGTATTCCAGCTGTGGCCTGACCAGTGTCGCATAGAGGGGGAGGATCACCTCCTTGGCCCTTCTTGAGATGCCCCTGTGGATACACGATAGGGTCCGGTTTGCCCTGCCGACCGTGACCTCGCATCGTCGGCCCATGTTCATCTTGGAGTCAGTGATGACTCCAAGATCCCTTTCTGCCTCCGTGCTCTCAAGAAGGGAGTTTCCCATCTTATAAGTGTGTTGCCGGTTATTACTGCCCAAGTGCAGTACCCTGCACTTGTCCGTATTGAAACACATCCTGTTTTTGTCAGCCCACCCCTACAACCTACCCAGGTCTTTCTGCAGTCTTTCCCTCCCTGCTAGTGTGCCCACCTCACCCCAGATTTTGGTATCATCA